TGTTATATCTACCTATATTCCTGATCATCTCTCCATAACCCACTCTCTGCATAACTGGGATCACTATGCTTTTGTTCTGTTTGCTATTTATAGAGTATCAAGTTTCCACCCAGGTAAAATGAGCCATTGCCAAAGAGTATCTTGCTTGACCTAGAAATAACATGTCCTTCCTTCATCCTACTTATACCAAGAAGGCCTAAGTAGCTGCCCTATTGTCAAACATGAAATCTTTTGATCGAATTTCCATCCCTAAGAGAGCAGTCTCATCAAGGTTATCTCTCCACAGACTAGTACCCTCAGGGAGCAGACTACAGTACCCCCACCTCAGCCACACTCTCCATGCCTTTGCTTTCTGCTGTGGTATCCTGAGAGACACACCCAAGTGTTGAAGCCAAACCAAAGGACTTTGTACCCAGAGTTAGCTGATATTATCCTCTTAGTGAGACACTTTATTATTATTACTATTATTATTTGAACACAGGCTTGTATTTATTCCAGAGTCCTCAGCCCCTGTGGAGCTCATGCTAGCCTTCAAAATAGGTCCCAGTGAGAGTTACAACCTCCCTGTCAGGCCTAAAAATCAATTCCCTTATTCTAAAACTGTCACAATGCAGTTCATTTTTCTCTGTCAGGAGGGAAATTTATCTCCAAAGCAGTTGATGTTTTCCTTAACACTTCTTTGTCACTTGACCAAATTTACCAAACTCTGTGAGTTCCCGATGCTGGAGACAGGCCTGTTTTTCCTCTTGTCTTGGAGTGCCTTCCTGTCTGCTGAGGCTGCCGGTCTAACAGGTCAGTGCTTCATCCTGCAAAAGAGCTGGAAGTGTGAATAAGTATGTGTGTCTCTGGGTGGACTCCTCGTTGTTCCTGCAATAGGTGAAATGGAGTCTCTAAATATAGGTTTGTGCTTGCATCCTTCCTCCTGGGTACCTGAGGGTGAAAAGATAATGATAACACATATATTTGGTACTCAACAGCTTCACTGAAAGTCTCCAAAATGCCATTTCCTCTTCTGTCCTTGCTGGTTAGTAAAGGATGCTGAAATCTACAAAATACTGATTTATAGAGGTGATGGGTATCTTTAAAAATGGAAATGTTGAAGGAATGTTTGTAAAAAGAGGCTGAGACTTTCCACCAGCTGTTTAAAGCAAGAAACCACATAGGTGGCCTCTGAAGGGGGTGTGCAGTGCACACATCAGTGTCCAAGGTCATTGCATATGCTCTGTGGCAGGTCAGAAAACAAAGAGCTTTAATATGTAGACTTCATACTTTAATATCTCCTATTATAGAAAATCCATATATAGAGTCCTCTGAGGTGGAACAGTTGATAGAGAGAAGGGCATTCCCTAAGGTCCCAAGGGCCATGGATCTTATGATCTGAATTCAGCAATTAGATTACTTTCCTGCAGCAGCCAGGGTTTGCGCTTGGATGGCTGCAATGATTGGGTGCTTTTCCATGTAGAAGAATCACTGTGGCTCCGAGCAAAATGTAAAGCTATTTCTCTCTTTGGCCTAGTTCTTGGCTTCTCCCAGGTTTCAATCGTTGGTCTCTTGCTGCTCACTACACCTTAATTGCCATTCAAACGGTGGGAATCTCCTCTGAAATGTTAACTGGTAACAAGGCATGCCTCCCTGGGTGTTTGCATTTTTAAAGATGGTACTTTAAGGGTAAAGAATAATAAAAGTTGGCATATACTGGAATTATAGCAAGAGCCAGTGCTGAGTAATTGCCTTTCATGGATACTCTCATTAACTTGCAGACCTACTCAAAGTTAGAAACTAACTATATCTTGCTTACTTGGCCCATAAATGCTGAGGCTGGGATTTAAAAGTCGGAAATCTCAGGCATCAAGCATTGCTTCCTTGAATAAATTTCCATCTGTGACCAATCAGGCTATACTTATATCAGATCAAATAGACTTCAAACTAAAAAGGTTAAAGAGATACAGAAGGCCACTACATTATGGTTAAGGGGACAACACAACAAGAAGAAATAACAATCATCAACATATATGCACCAAATGAAGGAGCACCAAAATATATTAGGAAACTACTGTCATCTATGAAAATGTATCTCAGAGAGAATGCATACATAGACTTTAACATGCCACTCTCAACA